CTGAAAGGGAAAGAGAAAACTGGGCGATGTTCCATCCTCCCCATCCCCATTCCACCACACCAGACACGATCTTGCGGAGCCGTGCTCTGCTCGCCAATCATTGTAGTAGTCACTAGATAGGCGAGGGATGTTGGAGGGGGCTTGAGGCCCAAAGTAGATAGGAACCTGTCCTAAGGATGGTGATAGCTGTCAGTTCGCGAGCACTTAAAAGCTGTTCCGCTCAAAGCTAACACTGCCGATGAGATGAGTGGTCCCTCGGTCTAGGCACAGCCTCGGTGGACTGTCTTCGGATGACCCTGAAGAGGAGGACTAGAAAGGGAGGCAGATGATGCTCCTGGAGCCAGGGCACTTAAGGAACCCATAGCCAGCAACTGAACACACAACACCTTGATGAAGAAGGTGACCTGACCGCAGGTGTCACGCTAAGAATTAAGTCGTTTATTGGTTAAACATGGAAAGCGAGTGGAGTGGGTTATATTCAAATACAGGTATCATTTGGCAAGTGTATGTGCCAGCCTGTGGTGGGGTTTAGGAAATTCCAGAGCTGTACTCACAAAGCAGGTAATAATGGCAGCCAGCATTTAGGAATGTTTGTTTCTTGTTGAAGCGTTGTTCACATACCATCTAATTCCTATAGATGTAAGCAATGTTAATCTGATGTAACAACAACAAAGTAAGGCTAAAAGTTAACTGGATTCAAAATTATTAACAAGTAGAAGAAAAATCAAGGCTCTACTGCCCACATCATGAGATGGTACTAAAGAGAAGTTTATAGGGCCTGGATCCCCTCTTTAGGGAAAATGCATAAATACACAGTTGCTGGATGTCCACCCCTAGCTCCAATGTCCAGGGGAAGACAGTTCCTATGGTCAGTACACCAGCCTCATGACAAATCCACTTGAAATGTTGAGACACAGAAGTTAAAGATGGTACCTACTAAAGTTTCAGAGTCAAATTATAAGGTGATTACTGGACTCCGTGCGACAGATCTGCTCTGATGTAGCCTGGAGACAGCTGGGTCCCTCTGCATTCTGTGTTAGTGAATACCATCCAGTACCCAGGTGGGCTGTCACCTGAGACTTATCAGTCTCCTGATCTGTCCAGCCATTAAAGAAGCAACTTGGAAGACAGAAAGGGAGGGAGGGAAGAAGAGCTAGAGAAAGCAAGCAAGTAACCTGGCCACAGATCTGAATGTAGCTGGCGCTTTGCTGTGTGAGAGGAGAGGGAGAGGACCTGGAGAAGGGGCTAGTGCCTGATCTACAAAAACAGCTCCATATTGAAAAGTCAAACCAAGGCATCCTGGGACGGGAGCTGGTATTTCTGTTTCCAGAGGGTGAGTCTTGAGGGCACCACAGGAGAAGGTACTGTTTACCTGGCTTTGTAAGAGCAGGGCTTTTGTTTTTGTTTTTCCTGGCAGCCACGATGTTTTTTTATCAGTTTTTACTGTGTCTTCTGGGTCATGTTTAAATTTCTTGTAGTTTTTTTAATAATATAAAAATCAATTAAAAAAGACAAATATGTATGAAGCAAAGTGATCTGCAACTCCAAACTCTGCCACACACACTTTCTTACTTCCTGTGGGGTAGCCACTCTGTGTGGTGTGAGAAATTAGCTACCAAACATATGGCCAGTTAGGCTGCTGCAGAGACCTTTCCCCAGAAAGACTCCCAAAGATAAGATGTTGAAATCACCTGGCAAAAAGAAAGAGCAAGGGGCTAGGCTGACACAAAGTGCAAACATGTGGAGTGTTTCACACATGGTCTCCCAGTCTGAGCTGCACCACTCTTCCAGCTGGGTAAGTATATTGCTGCTGACCAGAGACCGGTAGATGGGAACCAGATATGGCACGCGCTTGTTCTCCTGGCTCACAGCGGAACCAGTCCCTGGATACTGCTGCAGCTCTCAGGATGGTGTGATGAGTGCTGTGGATTTTATCTACATTCCTCAGACAGGAAAATGCAGCTTTTGTGCATGTCGCCAGTGGGTGATCATTTTAAGACTTCCTGACTGCTGGTGCCTTCTGAATATTTAAGTCATCAAAAATACTTTGTGCTCACTTGGTTCTTCAAGCTTTTCCTTTATGTTCAGCCCATGTGTACACTACTGACTTTATCTCATGACCTATGTCTTTTATTTTAATTTCATTTGTCTTTCTTCTAATAACTGTGTCTGTTATTTTCTTTGGCAGAATTGTTTGCTCTTAAGTAGTAAGATAAATAAACTGTAATGAATAGCAACAATTAAAGAAAAGTCCTTCACACTCAGGACTTACCATGTGCCATGCTCAATGTGCTTTCAATTTTATTTATTCACATAATCCCTGCAGCAGTCATATGCAGGCAGGGTGGCAATTATCCCATTTTACAAATGAGGAGACTTGTGCATAGAATAATGAAACAACTTGATCAAGGTCACACCACTAGTGAATGACAGTCTGCCCTGAATCTACAGACTGGCTTCCAGCCTTGGCTCTTAATCGCTCATTCTGTCTTGCTTGCTCATTTAAATACTTATAAACATGCATGTTTATATGGGGGGGAGTGAGGATTTTATTCTTGTAAAAGCAGTGTCACTTCTTTATCTATATCAGCAACACTGGCTGCTCCTCCCCCACCCACCCTTTAACTGCTCTCTTTCTCTTCCTCCTCCAAGGCCTATGACTAACAAGGCCTGGGTTTTCCTCTTCCTATTTGGCCATACCGCTTTGCATACCACATTTGTGTTTTATTTCCTAGGATTCTGTAGGCCTGCTTGCTCTTGGTTGTGTTCTCTTGTTAGTTATCATTCTATTTTGCAACCAGAAAGTATTCAAAAATATTTGATCTTCAGGGTTGCAGTCCCTAGAGGTTTTGTAACACTAAGACTGCACCCTTTACGTTTGCATATGCTACCATGAGACTGGTCCTCTTAAAACCCATCAGTGGCCTTCTTTGCTGTAACAAATAGCTATAAAAGTCTATTAGTTAAATGGGCTTGAATAATTTTCTCATATAGGGTAGCTGCCCCCACTCCCACCCTGTAACCCCCATAACAAACACAAAATTTCCCTTTCTTGCCTAGGCTGACACCTTTGGGATCACATTCCCAACACATGGGAAATGGAGACTGTAATTCCCATCCCTTAATGGGAAGCCTCCAATGTGCTCCATTATGTCCATTCATTTCCCATTGGCTGGGACTCAGACACATGGCCACATGTTGGCACAAATGAGGAAAAGCAGCTTTATCAGAGCAGCTGGGTGCCTAGGAGAAGGCTACTGAGACTCAAGAGAGGGAGATGGAATTTGAAGAATCAGACAGAAGTCACAAACAAAGGAAAAACAAACTGGAGGTACACAGGAGGAAATAGAGGAATGTAATTTCGATTTGGGGGAAAAGAAAACTTTCATGAGGAAGTGACATTAGGAAGAGACCTGAAGCAAAGTGGAAGATGACTGGGGGAGTTGGAGTTCTGCAAAGATCTTTCTTCATGAAACAGCCTGGAAGTGAGAAAGTGGGGGCCATGTGACCAACACAGAAGGTAGAGATGAGTTTGAGGGGTACAGGCAGAGGGTGGGCTGAGAAGAATCAGTGCCTCCCACTAAACATTAGAGATTTTTTAATTCAAAGCAATCTAGTGAAGGAGGCTGAGGAGAAAGGTTGCGTTTGAGGAGCTCACAATGGTGGCGGTTGCAGTCAGGGCGCTCACTGCCTGGGGTTCACTTAGAAAATATGCAGTGGTGAGGAGAGAGGTGCACAGACTCGTGGTCTACAGAGCCAGTGGAGGGATGGAAGGGGCTCACAGACATGTGGTCTACAGAGCTAACCAAGGGATGGAGAGCAGAGGTCAGATCTGAAACCTAGTGTCTCAGGAGCCCATGGACAGGCTTGGTGATAAACTGGATGTGGGAGGTGTTACGTATGACTCAGGTTTCTGGCTGAAACAGCTGAGTAGATTATCATAACCTTTACTGTGGGAGGAGCAGGTTGCAGAGAAGAAAGAAAGAATTCACAATTGACATAAGCAGTCTGAAATGAGGGTGGAGCAGGGAAATAGAAAATGAAGGAAGAGTCCAAAGCTCAAAAGAGAGGGCTGGACTTGGCAGTCATGGGTGCTGAGGTGCCATTCATGACTATGAAGAGAAGCGTTTAGAGAGACCATGCATTAAGAGAGCTTTATGAAGGTCAGCATTTGCCAGATGGCACAGGAGGAGAAACCAAAAATAATCAGCCATGAAGTAGGAGGACACTTGGGAGGACATTGTCATGGAAGCCGGGAGAAGAGTGACTCTAAGAGCTGGTGCTTCACACTCCATGCCTGCTTCAGATCCCAGATGATGCTTGTCTGACACCCACTCACCTTGTTGGCCCTCGGTGGCTTCATCTGCCTCATGCTCTCAGGCTCATGTCAAGTACTGTTGTAATGATTTCACTTCCATGTTGAACTGTGAACATTTCAAAATTGTTCAACATTTTCAGAGTTAGCACAGTATAGTCCACAAACAGTTGTTTCATTAGGATGAAAGAGGATTTCTCCCTTTCATGAAATTTTAGGTAAGTAGACGGTGCAATGGTATTAGG